CATGAGATCCGTGTTGAGTTTTCTTCTATTTATTCCATCTTTCATGCATCTAGCATGTTGTCTTGCATGCTACAAATGCAAATGTTTACTGAATGAAGACATAAATAAGTATAATACATACTTGTCAATTTTAAACATTGAGTTAGAAAATATAGCTGATTGTGAGGCTAAAGTTTAATTAATTTTCTGAGACACAATTAAAGTTCTGGGTTTAATGAATCGATATTAATAGAATTAATATAGTAACTGTAGTAATTTAGTACTAATTAAGAGTAACCTATTAGATACCTTTCTCTTGCAAGTGAAATGTGTTTAAATACTTCTATGCAATAACAAAGTTAAACATTCATATGAAATATCTCCAATAGTAAGGGCAAATACCTTTCAAATGGTAGGGTCTCTACTTAAAAATCACAAGCAGATACTAATTTTTCAATGATACGTTTTACATTGGAGTCACAAGAGTAATCTGTTACCTGAGTAAGATAAATTATCTCAAGCATTACAAATGCTTAAATATCAAATATGTACTTATTATTTCTTAAACCTAACACATTACTACCAAAGGCTTAATTTATTCTATATTCTACTTATGTCTACATTTTCTCAAGGTTTAAACACATTTACCCAGTAAGGAAACAAGTACATTATCTCAAATGATTTCGAGATTACGATCCCAACCAAAATCTGGTAAATACCTTCTCAGATCTCAGATAGCTGAGACTGCTGAAGTCAGCTACCCCATCAAGGCTGTAACTAACCTTCTTCACTGTTTCTGTGGTTTTGCAATTCTTTTCCATAAGATACTTAAAGTCTATTAAGCTCAAAAACTAGAGTTCATTCCATTGGATCTTTCATGCTCTTAATTGCATGCAACCTATTTGAACAGGAAGAATCCTATATTCTTTTCTCATTCTGTCTGGTAGGGATACAGCTTTTTTGAATTCCAGGTAACAGTCAGGGCTTTGTCTGACTCTATGGTCACAGGCTACACCTGGGGAATTCGCCTTCAGTTCACCTGTTTCTGTATAAATATTCCGTAACGTGCCGAGATGGTTCTGGCCCAGCTACTTGCACCTGGTGATGAGGCAGGTATAAAAAGACAGAACCTCCGAACACACTCAGGTGGTAGGGAGCGAGGGGAGGGAAACTTGGAAGGTAACAAGTTGGTGCAAGTTATTGCTGTTTTTACCTTTACTTTTAAGCCCCGCCCCCACCGGACCTGGGAAAGGAAGGAGAGGGGGCCTCTTCTGACTCCACTCCCCAAGGGGAGGGGGGTTTGCCTCTGAACGTGGCAAGCATAACCAGGTTTGGATCTAGGGCGCTGGGGTCCTGGTGGTGCTCCAGTGGGCCCCCTCCCTACCCCCGTGACTTGTCCAACCTCCCTACACCTTCAAATGACAAGTTCGCCCCCCGCTCCCCCCCCCCCCCAGTCCCCAGTGACGAATCCAGCCGCGCTCCCATTCTTCACACAGGGTGGGGACGGACTTTCAAAGACTCGGAGATCCCACGGGTGCAGAGTAAGGTTGGAGACCTTACTCTGCCGGTTCCCAGTTCCCTTACCCTGAGTACACGACTTATGCTCCATTTAATTTTCCATAAGAAATCGCTCTCACGTACTTGTTCTGTGTCATTACTTCTAATGGCAAAATCACCAATTACTTTTGTTACCAGTGGAGGGTGTCCAGGTTCTTGGTGTCTTGAAGGAAGAACTGGACAAAATACACAAAGCAAGGAAAGAATGAAGCAACAAAATCAGACATTACTGAAAATAAAGAACCCTCCACAGGCTCCGGGACTCAAGAACCAATGGGAGGCTGAAGTGAAGTCACAAAGGTTACCCCCTATGCAAGCATCTGATTGGTTGTGGAAAACAACCAATCAGAGGCTAAAGTGAAGTTACAAAGTTACATTTCTAGGCAGACAAGACTTGGCCTGCAGTCTGATTGGTCACAAAGCTACATTCCTACGCAGAAAGCAACAGAGGTACTTTCCATTTTCCGTCTGCCACGCAGAAATGTGGCGGGGAGGGGCGGTTGCAAAAGGAGTAGCCATCTGGTCCTTTTGTTATTTAGGTGTGGAAAATTGGGGTTTTCCTTTGGATTTAGTTCTAGGAAGTCAGTGTGAATTGGCCTTGGTTTCCCTGCGTCCAGACCCTATTCTCCCGCCTCACTTTTGCACCAACCTAATACAACAACCCATACAGAACTTAAAGATCCAGGAAGCCTCTGCCTCCATCCAGGAGCTGCTTCATCCTCTACTCTGTGTAACTACCTCTGAGATTCCATATCCTTTGAGATTAAAAACACTTTACATCTTCTGTGTCTGTTGACGGCTCTTTCCACCAGTTACATCACTGTGCTTCTGTGGCAACTGAATACAACTGGAAGTGAAAAACAACTCCTCATTCAAATGTTTCTGAAATATTCACAGGTAGGGCTCATTTCAGGAAAGGCATGAACCAGCAGCTCAGCAGGCCACACACCTACGCCAGATCCAACGCTGTTACTAGGGACTAGCTTAGATGAGGTCACAGGTGCCAATCCAATATCCAGGTGGGTATTATTCTCCTTGGAATGAACCCCAACAAAAATCAAGAGCCACAAGAAATGGGGAAAGAGAGAATTTATGCTGGGAAGGCATAAAGTCCACTACAGATAACATAAACAACAACAACAACAACAACAACAAAATTCTCTCTCTTCCCCTCTGGCTATGTATATGTCATGAGACTATACCATATTTCATTTCAAGAATGTTCAAAGCAGCTGGGCATAGCGGTGCACGCCTATACTCCCGCCTACTCAGCAGGCTGAGGCAGAAGTATCACATGAGCCCAGGAATTCAAGGCTATAGCATGCTATGATCATGCCTGTGAATAGCCACTGCACTCCAACCTGGGCAACACAGCAAGATCCTGACTCATTTTTTTTTAAAAAGGTCAAAGCAGTGCTGTTGAAAACAGAAAAAAACTGAAAGCAACTTTAATGTCCAACAATATGAAGGTACATAATTCATGGTATACCTTTATAATAAAACATTACATCAGCATTTCTCAATCTTTTAGGTCTGAGAACCCCTCTATACTCTCACAAAAAAAATCACTGAGGACCCCAAAGAGCTTTTGTTAATATGGGTTATATCTATCACTACCACTTTTGTCTGGCTTAACAGAAGTGGCTGGATTCTCAGATCTGCTTCTGCATTCAATCCATTTTCATATGCTGTTTTGGCTGAAGTATATGAAAAAGATCTGACTTTACACAGGCACGTAGTTGGGAAAGAGAAGAGTATTTTAATAGCTTGTTCAGATAACGGTGGACGTTCTTCTCCAAAATTTTACCAAAACCTGGACAAGTGATAGTTTCTTAAAGATTAGTTGCCGTGTGTAATCTGAAACTGTATCAAAAACTTTTTCATACTCTGTTATATTCAAATCCATTGGTCCATCTTGTCCTCTGAACAGATCTTTTACCCAGTCATGATTTTTTTTTTTAGTTTTGAGACGGAGTCTTGCTCTGTCGCCAGGCTGGAGTGCAGTGGCACAAGCTCAGCTCACTGCAATCTCCGCCTTCTGGGTTCAAGCAATTCTCCTGCCTCAGCCTCCCAAGTAGCTGGGATTTCAGGCCTGTACCAATACACCCAGCTAATTTTTGTATTTTTAGTAGAGACAGGGTTTCACCATGTTGGCCAGGGTGGTCTCGATCTCCTGACCTCATGATCCGTCCGCCTCAGCCTCCCAAAGTGCTAGGATTACAGACGTGAACGACCGCGCACGGTCTCAGTCATGATTTCTTAACATCACATATGTTAATTACTATCCATCTCATTAGGAAAGGTTTTATGTAAGACTGTGCACGATGGCTCACACCTGTAATCCCACTATTATGGGAGACTGAGGCAGGAGGACTGCTTGAGGCCAGGAGTTCAAGACCAACCTGGGCAACCTAGAGACCTCATCTCTACAAAACATAAAAAGAAAAAATTAGCAGGCCATGGTGGTATGCACCTGTAGTTTCAGCCACTCAGAGGCTGAGGTGGGAGGATAAGAAAGAAAGGGAGACAGACAGAGGGGGCAGGGTGAGGAGGGGAGAGAGAGAGAAAGACAGAGAGAAGTCTTTATGTTAAGGAAAGCTGTCAAGCTTCCAGTGGAGGAATACAACTTTTCCAAAATCATACATTTTGCTAGAAATCTCCAATTTTATCATTGGCACAACAAATACCATCAGTTGTTTTCCGTGAAGAGGCCATCTTAGTTCAATTTTGAGAAAATGTCTGCCAAACATCCAAATCTAAATAACCAATCATCGTTTTTCGTCATTCTTTTCAGTGAAAATGGCATTCCATGAAAAAAAAGCAGCAAATTCAATTGGCAACTCAAATAAACAAGTGCTTCTCCTGGAGACAGCCTCGTACCTAGGCATGCAGCAGATGTGTCTGTGCGTACTTGCTACTCCATCACACAAGATATTCACAGGGTACTGCAGATGCACACACAACAGCATGCAAATGCAGAAGCCATGGCTGGAGAACTACATATCACATATTTAATAGGCGCCACTACCTTCTGGTAATGGAATGCAGAAAAATGGGAATATACGAGACTTTTATATTTTACCTAAAAACAAGTGAATATAAAAAAGTCTGGTGGGATACACAAAAGAGGTTGACTGTGATTAGCTACTAGTAAAATTATGAATGATTTTTATTTTCATTTTTCTCACTTCCCTGGATTTTCTAGTTCTTCTATGACAGATATATTTGTTTCTTAACAAGATATTTTTATTTACAAAAAAGCCAATCAAAGGCTTTGAAATGTATAGTGAACTGCTTAAAGTTAAATAACCATAGTTTGCCCAACTCTGTGTCACAGTATAGGTTTTAAATTAAGTCACGTGTGCTACATAGGAGAGATTAGAATCAAATTCTGACATCCTTGAAAAATAAAGGTACTTAAAGTAATTAAGTAAATGAAAGCTAAAAAATATATATCTATAATATTCAGTGTGAAAAACATTGTTTTATTATTTGAAAAATAATAGAAATTGTATATAAAATACAAAATGTACAGTTGCCTAGTGCAATTGGTATCCATTTTACATTTTTTACATTTTTTTCCCCTAGTTAATGGCACCCAAAATGTGGTTTCATTTTCACTGGCCTGGTTAACTAATACCATTTAACAATGTGTTTAAGAGCTTCTTCAAAAAATAGTAAAGACAATTTGTAAAATAACTATGCTTTCTTACATTTACAAAACAGAATTTTGATAATATATGAATATTTTATATCACATAATTACCATGTAACTACTAATCTGTTGTCTATATCAAATCACAGCACATAACATTTTCCAAATACACTGTTTTAATAAAGAGATTAGAAAATAGGACAGTAATGGTTTCTTAAAGCAATCTTACAGGAAGTCTAATTTAATATTCTGTTAGGTAATGTACTCACGTAGCCTCCCAGAAGACCCAGAAACTTTACATGAATTGCGAAAGGCTGATTTAAGATGCTAGTTCTTCAATAAACAGTGAACTCTGTAATCAGAATCATTTTTAAGTCAAAATACTATTCCTTACTCTTCAGAAATAAAATATAACTCTCCTCTTGTAATACAGCAAGAAACATAATTGTTCCGGTAATTGCCAGCTTAACTAAAAAGGCCTCCCCTTTTCGTTTTGTCCATTAATTTCTTGCTGGTGTGACTTCCTTTGGCAAACCACATAGGTAATCGTCTCTTTCTCTCTGCAGATGAAGTCTATAGGAAATAGAAAGAAAAAGAAATCAAATCTTTGTACTACTGAGAAGGGGTATTAGTTGCAAACAAGTAACATAGGTTCCTGAATATACACCCATCCTTTCTCCTCTATCAAAAAAAAAAAAAAAAAAAAAAAAAAACAAATAGTGGTTATCTATACAATTTATTTCTGGATCAAAAAGTAAATAAATATAAGAGACATAAAATCACTACATCATTTCTTTAGGCAATTACTTGCCATCTCATCACATAGTCTTAGACACTCAAGACACCTCATTCAGTAAGTAAAAATCTAGACATTATTTCAGATCTATATCCCATGGTGTACTTGCTTTGAGTTGACCAAAATGGTGAATTTAATGTTTTGAGGAAGGAACATGCCTGGGCATGTATACACACACAAAGAGTTATATTATGCATGTGAAAAGAATATAGCTTCTAACATCTACAATGGGAGGTAGACAGACTTGTCCAATCAGCACCCTGTAGAGTGGCCAAGGCATAGTATGCTTAATAAACATTTGCTAAATAAATGGAAAAAATAAAAGTTTCTTGTCTCATAGACTCATCTGAGAATCACTATAGATCCACTTCCCAGAAAAAAAGAGAAATATACACGTGCACACTTTCGCACACATTTCAGCAGCTCACGTGTCAAAGAGCCTCTAAACCTCAGGTTAAACATCCTTGAAAAAAAATAATTTAAGGCTGGGTGAGGTGGGTCATGCCTGCAATCCCAATACTTTGGGAGGATTATTGGAGCCCAGGAGGTCAAGGCTGCAGTGAGCTATAGTCATGCCACTGCACTCCAGTCTGGGCTGCGTAAGACCCCGTCTCAAACAAAACAAAACAAAACAAAACAAAAAACAAAACAAACAAAAAAGGTAGTGTTTGGGTACAATACCATCTGCACATGAAAAAGAATTAAATAATTTTAAGTAAGTGTTTCATAAGCCTACAGTGGCATACATTTGTGTTATCTCAGAGTACTAGATCCTCAGGATAACATAACAGAGAAATCATTCCATCATGAGTACATCCTGGAATCCAGAGTTAATTTGGGGTTATTATTAATAAAAGTAATTGAGAGATTTTATGAGAAGTTTGGCTTTATCTAAGGTACAATGTGTCTGTTAGCCTAAAATACAAAAATACTATTTATTCCATTTCAAGAATGAAGACTATCTAGATATTGTTCATCAGCTGCTTGCTATGTTTGATTATATTTTCTATGTTTAAAAAAGGCTTTGAAATATTTAACAGTAGGAAAACAGCAAAAGATCCTTGGCAGAACACTCTGAAACTTCATATTTAAAAAAGGTAAAAACTTAGCTGTTCCAGCTTAAGTAAAAAAATCCAGGGTAGAAAAAATGCTTTGTACACATCAGCAAAGGCTAAAGAAAAAACTGGCTAAGATTGCAACTTTGTTCCTAGGTACCCAACTGCAAGCAGGGAAGAGAAAATCAAAAGAATGGATGAGACTTATACACACTGTAAGATACTATGACTTAGAAATAATAAATATTGGGGATATGAGGTGGCATACAGAAAAGGCATTTTGCATTTTTCTAATGATCCGTGATGTTGAGCTTTTTTTCATGTTTGTTGGCTACATAAATGTCTTCTTTCGAGATGTGTCTGATCAAGTCCTTTGCCCACATTTTAATGTTTTTTTTGTTTTGTTTTGTTTTTTCTTGTAAATTTGTTTAGGTTCCTTGTAGATCCTGGATATTGGACCTTTGTCAGATGGATAGATTGCAAAAATTTTCTCCAACTCTGCCAAAAGAGGAGGACATCTGAACAGTAATAGAGCAGAGGAAGAAACCCTAAGTCATGTTGTATGTAGCCTAATACCATGGAGTAGCATAGACTTTGAAATCAGGCAGAACCAGGTTTGAACTTTAATTGAGCCACTTGCTAAATGTATGACCTGATTATGCATGTTACTTAAGCTTCAATGTCTTCACAGAGAAATGGAAATAACAGTACATAACATCACTGAATTATTTGGAGTTAAATAAGAATAAATGTAAAATAGCGAAATCCTAATTTCTTCTTCATACTCATTAATTGGTAGCTAATATCATTTCAAGTCTTCTGTATTTCTATAAACATGATCATCAGCATTTATAGTGGAATTATAATAATGATCTTATTTCATTGAAAAAAGGGGGAAATACTTACTTACACTGAGTGTGTCTTTCGAGTGTCAACAGTAAATTATTTGAAGAAATGTTCAGTATGAGATCTAAGTTACCTAATAGAAACAATGTCTTCCAGTGTCTATTTCCTTCCTCAGTAGACTACTAAAATTCCCAGCAACAAAATTTTAAGGGCCTCTTTACATCTTTTTAATACTCCCAACTCTGTTACCAAGCTATTACCATTAAGTTATGAACAGGAAACATCAACTCATTTGCTGATTATATGTGCACATACAGATGAAGCAAATACAGAAATATGTAAGTTACGTTCACATTTAATTTCATTTATAAACAAGGTCAATTCATATATTTAGTTACCAAGCCTGATGCATTTGTCATGAAAACTATTTTCATAAGTCAATTTTACCTGTGAATCAGCATCTGTAAATAAATCTTCTACAAAACTAGTTGTATAAAATATTGTGTATTTTAATTTGTAATCAAACTCAGTGATCAAGCAGGAAATGTCACACATTCTCTCTTATACAGTCAAGAAAAATAAGAAGAAAAAAAAAGGCACAGGACGAGAGGTACTGGGAAGACGGTGGCGGCAGCAGCAGCAGCAGCAGAGCTTTTAATCTTTCTGAATTCCAGAATTAAGACAGAACTAGATAGTAAAACCCCAAATCCATTGTCGACATTTACAATAAAACCAAGTGTAAAGGTGTCCTTGGGAAACTAAAATTGTAACAATGTAGGGGCAAACCACCAACAGCAATTAAGACCTGCACAGTACTGACATCTGTACGGGAGAAAGCAGAGGCAAGCAGTGTCCGATAACAAGAGAACCCCAAGATAGCCCACAGGCAAACACTGGGAAGACAGATTAATGAGAGATTAATCTGATAATAGCATCTGAAAATGGGAGAGCTTTTGTCCAAGCCAATAGCGAGTACAACGAATCCACAGTGATCTCTTAGGTGAAGAGCGCAGCTGGCTACTCTGAACCCTGGGACTAGCCGAGGCTGCCTTCTAGAAGAAGGCTCCACATTCAGGAGAAATCACTGGGGTTAAATCAAAACCAAGCAGGACAGGTACAACAGAGACTAAAGGGAGACAAAGCCTAGATAAAAATGGCAGAGTAGATCTCATAAACCAAGTTTCCATATTTTAGACATTATACAAAAACATTAGAGACAGATGTGAAATTGGGAAAATCATCCTGAACCATGCCTTCTTTTGAAAGTACAGGAAAACTAATCTCATATGAAAACGAGCAAAAGAAAAGTATCAAGGTCAAATCTTTGACACCAGAAAGACTTGCTTAGATACAGAATAAAACTGTAGTCTTTCAAAATGAACTGGAAAACATTAGGAAAATTATCTAAAACACAAAAAGATGTCACAAATCAAAATTAGAAAAATTCAAAACTGGGGGAAAACTGAGGGGGAAAACTGAGGAAAGAATCAGAAATAAAAGAAAAAAATTACAGAAGTGTTCAGTTAATAGGGTTGCTCCTTTGGTAAAACTAAAATAAAATAATATTTCTCTATATAAATAAACAAAGAATTTTTAAATCCAGAAACTTTAAAAAATAATTTAAAAATAAGTGAATACAAAGCTATGTGGAATACAGAAATAAATACAACTGATTATGTTAAAAGAGAAATAGAAGGTGAAAAGGAAGAAAAAATTTAAAGAGAAATGAAGAAATAAAAAGAATGCATGAAAAGTGACAAAGATTGAAGCTGGGTAAAGAAGATCCAACATACATGTATAGCAGAAGTTCCTGAAGAAGAAATACAAAGTAATGGAACAAAATACTAAAAAGTATGATTTAAGAAAACTTTATAGAACAGTTTTTAAAAAACTATCATTTAAGAAAACTTTCCAGAAATAAAAGAATACTAAATATTTAAAGAATCCACCATGTACCTATGGATATTGAATCCGAATTATCAATGCCAAGACATCACCTTTCTGTTAAACAAAGACATGATTGAGCTTCTATCTTAATAGCAAACACAAGAGATGTAAACATAACAATACGTCAACTAATAAAAAGAATTTGTTCTAATGACTTTATCCTTTGTCAGAAGCCTCATAATTATAAAATGAAACAGACTAAGGGATATAAATCAGGTCAGTAGAGCAGATGAATGTTAATATATGACAGATTCTGAAAGTAGGCCTCCAACACTCTACAGAAATCCGCTTTTCATAAAAGGAGGCTGATGAAGACAGATGCTTTGGATGACTCACTCACCTCTACTTCCCAGCCCCAACACCATTGTTCCCCTAAATGGGAAAAAGGGGCCAAATAAGGTAGACCTTTTAGAATCCAGTAAGCTTAGTACAATTTCTTCCCACCCAAACCCCCACAATATCCCCCATTCTCTTGTTGACATGTAATGTTACTGAAATAGGGGAAAAGCAAAAATGGCAATATATAGTTAAAATTTTACTACAAATGTGCTTCTATATTGAGGAAAAATAGTAAGTTACACCTTTTCCTGTATTGACAGGTTGAAGCTGGGAAAAAATAAGAGGGTCTTAGGCATTTGGTATAGATTACAGAAACAGAAGGCTGAGCGTTAGAATCTAAATTTCATTACCTCCACCCAAAATATGTTTTCTTTAATGTTCCTCTTATAGCTAGTTCAGTTACAAACAATATAAAGATTTCCAACTAATTAAGTTTCATTAGATTATCTAGGACATGACTCTATTATATACAGATTTAACTCAAGTACAGAATTTAAAAAGACCAGCTCCCCTTATTTTTAAGCAATTCAAAAAAGTAGCAGTTTAATTGCCGAACAGCCTATAAAGATCACCTTAGAACTGAAGTGTAATTCCTAATTCTCTAATACAAATAATCACCACCACCTACTGCCACATTGAATTTACCAACTAAGAATTTAAACAATTTTTTAGTTAATCATTTCAAAAACGTTTATAATGGAGTCATGTAATTTTAGATCCGGAAGATACCGAAGGTCAAATTTTTAAATTTATGCCATTATTTAAGAGTCATATTACTAAATAATACTCTCTGATTGCTATTTATCTCATGCCATACAAATAGCAATTATTTTTGAAGCATTTGATTTTAATAAAACATACCATCTAACATAATACTAAATTTGTAATCTATCTATGATCATGCAAAAGCACTAGGAAATGCTGAGAGCCACAAGCAACAGTAATCCTTGTGCCTCAGATATTCATATCATAGTAACAGACGATGATGAATGACAGAATGATAATAAACCAGTCTGGGAGGTATTTATAACACAATTTGTTTTCACTTTCATTAAGTACATAAACTGCCATATGCTTAAATTCATTAACTATACATCCGAAAGGAAGATTTTTCCAGGCTATATGGTCAATATGAGGTACAGGTAAAATTTAAGCTGACATTCTACACAGTAAGCTAAACAGATGGACTAAACATCCCTTTTACTGTCTTTTTTTAAAAAATCACTTTTCTCAGATCATATTTATGAAAAGTAAAGGAAATGTGGCCCATAGAGAAAGTAATCATATCAGAATTCATAACAGTTCAAAAAATACAGCATTCTAGTACTAGGATATGCAAATTGAAGAAACTGACACTATATGAAAATTCTCTATATAATTAACAGCTTGGTATTGATGCCTACTTCTTCCTTGCTTCTCTTAGAACTTGAGATCTCTTCAGAACTGGGAAAACATCTCCTTTTGTTGACATCACATGAAGGCTGAAGTCTGCTGTCAGTACCATGTTTAAGGATCTCAATTGCCATGTGGATAAGGTACGTGTCAATGTTTTCAGGAACTAACATTCTGATTAGGTTAATTTTACTCATATCTGTAAAAGATAAAAAAAACTCCATTTCAAAATAAATTACAGAGAACATTTTAGAAAACGTATGAGCTAGAAATAGTGAAATATTCTGTAGACAGGAAGGAGGAGGGTTGCCAAAGAAGTTTCCTCTTTCAAATGCCTATAGCCTTACGGAACGGAAATGGAGTAAAAACTCCACTCGGGTATCACTAGCACCTGAAGCCCCTGCCTCCAAGGTCCAAAGTCAGGTCAGTACTATTGACACCGCATAAATTGTGTTTCAAACTGTCTTTTGTGGGCTGCCGTGAGAGTCAAAACAACCATTCATAGAATTGCTCTAAAGGAAATTGTGTTTCCAATTCCAAATATCAATTATAATTAGATTTTTCTTAAAATAATTTATTCTGATCACTTGCTGGCCTTTTGCCTAAGATCAAGTATAATAATGATTTATTCTTTAAGTAGAAGCTAATTGTACTTGTAAATAAGATTCTAATAAAAAGGATTCTTTCAATGGCTATTATTGTAATAACAAGAGACATAAATGATTTTAAATGCACATTAACTAGATGAGATTTCTGGGAACATATTTCTTAATTTCAGAATCAAGAAACTTTACATTTTTTTGCAACTCAACAGAACTAATTCAGACTGTGTCAATTTCTTGACACCTTCTAAAATTATGTAGCAGCCTCCTATAGGCAAGCCAATAATTATGTTTCAGCACTTCCTTCCAACATCACGTTTTTCTGCAATGCTCCAGAGTGCGGTAAACCCAAGCAGTTTAGAACCTACCCATTCACCTTCACCTAATTTACAAAGCATATCCAACATTTGACACCCAACTCAAATCAGTGATCAGAAACCAAGTATTTTTCAAATGACAACCTGAAAAGACATTCTTTAAATTATTAGTTTTCAGGTTTATATTTTCCTTTCTTCTAAAGATTAGCTTGCTACTCCAAGACTCCTCAAAACACTGCAGTTTAAAAGGCAAAAAACAAAACAAAATAAAACAAAAAACAGGAAGAGAAAGTTATGCAGCTAATATAAACTAGGTCAGTGGGTTAACTAATTAAAGTTTCAAAATCTTAAAAAGGAAAAGATCACCTCTATACATAGTAAAATCAGCAACGTGACTATCTTATCTCTCAACCAAACTAAAATTGTATTTGTCCCTTGATCATTATATCATCCTAATAATGTCAAAATTCCCCCAATTTTACTATTTCATCATTTTTTAATGGCTGAGGAGTATTCTGTTGTATGTGTGTATCCAAATTTACTTTGAGTTCCCTTTTATTTGTCTTCAAATTTTAAAATACGTTTGGAACACCTTGGGCACATTAGTCCACTTTGTTCAACGGTAAATTTTACAAAAGCTAAACACAGATCAAGTATTTCCAGTTAAAATTTAGCATCAGAAGATATGTTGTATATATAAAGTACATACCTGATTACAAAGGCTTATGACAGAAAAAAGTACATAAAATATCTCATTAATAATTTTCAGATTGATTACATGTTGAAATGATAAAATTTTAAATATAGTAGACTAAATTATATTATCGAAATAAATTGCATCCATTTACTTTTTAAAATGTGGCTACTAGAAAATGTAAAATTGCATATGTAGCTCGCATTATATTTCTACTGATAGTGCTGTTTTAGAAAGACCATATAAATTTTCCCACACTCAAAACCAAGTAATATACCACTACATTGCATTAAATTCATTTTCTTCCATGGGTATTTAGAAATTAGATAAATAAACTATGGATGATTAATTTCTTCATACTATAAATGTGACATTTATAAACCAAGTTTTTAGGGAAAAATCACACAAGCTTGAGCTATTATCGTGTAATGGGCTAAACAAATTAATTTTAAAAGAAAAAATAAGATATTTCATTCACTTTTGAATCACTTTATTTCTAAAATTAGAATGTCTTTTGTTCATAAAATGATGATGCATAAACATCTGCTTATGGTGTTAAACCACTATTAATGATTTAAAGTTAAATGTATAAGGTTAATTTCTAGATATAATTTAAAAATTCATGTATTTTTCTAATACATTTCCACAAGTACCCTTTATATTTCTATGGTAAATTCATCCTGCATTTTATACATATGCAAATAAGTGGCATTTAGCTTTACAGGTGCATCTCATTCTGCTCTAACTTCCCATGTAAATAAGTGCTGAAAATATCTACCGCAGAATTCATGACAACACTGGCTACACGCCTTCAGTGTTTTCAAAGAGATCATATTACCCTTACTTCTGTAGTAGATCCCTTGGAAGCCACTCTTAATTTTCCAGTTACATGCACATTAAGAATGGGAGAATAAAATTAATCAAAATACTATCTAGGTACCTCATTCAATGCCTTAATTTATTATTAAGCATAGTTCGAATCCCAAATCCATAAACAGAGTTTAAAATTACATAAACAAGGACAAACGAAAAGAATACAAAGGTACAAAGCTCCTTTAAATATGAACAGTTTTCCAGACAAAACCTACTTAACAAATAAGAGTACGAAATTAATAGCTATGTTTTCTCAATTCATAATTACTCTATTTTTAGGTAAAGATTGTGTCATAATAAAATACAGAAACTTCTCAATTCAGGATTGTACAAAGTTTAGATTTAATCAAACTTGTTCTTTAAAACTCTAAATTATTGTGGCATGGCAACAGTTAAATAAAATATGAAAATAGCATATCTGAATCGTTATTATAGTATGTATATCCTCATTCCTTATTATCATTTATAATCCAACAATGTTTTCTCCAGTAAGAGAACAAAAGGTATTTTATAAAGAAAAAACAAGAATCCAAAAGCACAATCTCACATCCATAAATGATAGTTTAATGATTATGAGTGTACTATCAAAAGAAATAAAAGAGGGCTGGGCTCAGTGGCTCACACCTGTAATCCCAGCACTTAGGCAGGCTGAGGTGGGAGGATCGCTTGAGACTAAGGGGTTCAAGACTAGGCTGGGCAATGTAGTGAGACCCCATCTCTACAAAAAATATTTAAAAATTAGCCAGGTGTGGTCCCAGCTACTTGGAAGGCTGAAGTGGAAGGCTTGCTTGAGTCCAGGAGTTCAAGGGTGTAGTAAGCTATGATTGTGCCACTGCACTCCAGCCTGGGCAACAGAGTGAGACCTTGTCCTCAAAAAAAAAAAAAAAAAAAGAGCTCATGGTTATCACAACCTTCTTAACCTCCTCTATTCTAGATTTAAAAGTAGGCTACAAAAACGTACTTTTTCATATTATATGTGCAACCTACAGACAGTGTATTAACAGAACGATAAGTTTTTAGTAAGTATATCTTAAGAATTTTTCACTATTATATTCTGCTTGATTTTAATATTTCTTACTTTAAAAAGTTATCTAACATCAAAAATGGAAATTGCAAATCTTAGAATGTAGAGGGTACTAGATATGGTAAGGGGTAAAGACACTCAATTTAATAAAGATATGAAACTGATTATAAATAAGTTAATTTGTTTCACTCATCGAGTTTATATACCCATATCCTATATCAGGATTAGAAATTGCGTATTTCTTTCCTTTAAGTTAACTGGCAATACAACTTTAACATGAGTAAAAAGAGAAACTTGTTCAGTCATTAATCTTAGACATGGTATTAAAACAGTTTCATAACTCTCTAGGCCTCACATTCCTTATCTCCAAAACAGGGTGGGATAGGAAAGGGAAAGTGTAATGGTTTCCAATTTCATTTCTAAATCTAAAGTTCGATAACCTTGTGCCTACATGATTTAGAAAGCAAATTAACAGTGCTTCAATTCTTTACCGTGGGCAAATAAAACAGATGTTGTCAATACGTGGCTGAATAATATAATATGAAATTTTCCTTTACCATTTCCCTCTGCCCATAATGAAGTGATGTTAGAATGTCCATTTAGGACATTCAGGAATATATGCCCAAGAATTCTTTAGTGCGAATGAGCACACATGCGTGCGTGCGCGCGCACACACACACACACACCATTACAACCGGTTTGAGTTCTTAAATTGTATGTCTCTATAAAATATATATTGGGGAACATTCTTTCTTATATACTTATTAAGTTCATGTATTCTTAAGTGCCTATTAAAAATGACAAACTATAAAAATAATCATATTTAAAGGGTATATTTAAGACACCATAAAACTTTACCATCTGTGTCTTCAGTCATCATCATCATCATCATCATATTCACCACCACCATTTGCTATTATCAGTGTGCCAAAGCTTTCTGAACAGTATCTAATTTACAGTCATACACCACATAATGATGTTTCAGTCAACCATGGGCAGCCAACAGGAACAAGTATCCATTAGATTATCACACAGCTGAAAAGCTCCTATCACCTAGTGACATCATAGCCATCATAACATCACAATGCAAAGCATCACCCATGTGTTTGTGGTGGTAATGGTGTAAACAAACTCACTTTGCTGCCCGCTGTGTAAAAGTCTAGCATATACAGTACATAATACTTAAAAATGATAACAAATGACTATGTTACTATGTTTATGTGTTTGCTATATTATACACTTTATAAATATTTTTTAGAAGTTCATCGTAAAACAAGTAGGCCCTTCTGGAGGTATCCAGAAGGCGGCATTGTTATCATAGGAGATGACAGCCCCATGCATGTGACTGCCCCTGAAGACCTTCTGGTGGGACAAGATGTGGAGGTGGAAGACAGTGAGACTGATGATCCTGAGCCCATGTAGGCCTAGTCTAATGTGTGGGTTTGTGTCTTGGTTTTTAACAAAAAAAAAAATGTAAAAAGTAAAAACGAATTTAACAAAATCAAAAACAGAAAAAAGCTTAGAGAAGAAGGATATAAAGAAAATATATTTGTACAGCTGTACAATATGTTTGTGTTTTAAGCTAAGTGTTATTACAAAAGAGTAAAAAGATTTTAATTCATAAAGAAAAATCATTACAGTAAGCTAAGGTTAATTTATTATTGGTAAAAGAAGCAAATTTTTTTAACTTTTATTTTAGTTTCAAGGGTACATATGCAAGTACATTATACAGATAGATTCGTATCACAGGGGTGAGTGTGGCCTAAGTGCACAGGGTTTATAAAGTCTACAGTAGTGCACAGTCCTAGGTCTTCACATTCACTCACCACTCACTCACTGACTCACACAGAGCAACTCCCAGGATGCAAGCTCCATTCGCCGTAAGTGCCCTATACAGATGTACACTTTTGTATCTTTTTTTTGAGACAGAGTCTCACTCTGTCTCCCAGGTTGGAGTGCAGTGGCACAATCTTGGCTCACTGCAACCTCCACCTCCCGGGTTCAAGCAATTCTCCTGCCTCAGCCTCCCAAGTAGCTGGGATTACAGGCACCTACCACCACGCCTGGCTAATTTTTGTATTTTTAGTTGAGACGGGGTTTCACCATGTTGGCCAGGCTGGTCTTGAACTCCTGACCTCAGGTGATCCGCCCACCTCGGCCTCCCAAAGTACTGGGATTACAAGCGTGAGCCACCACGCCTGGCCTTTTTTAAAAAAATCTGTTACACTGTATTTCTACTGGGCCTTTTCTATGTTTCACTATGTTTATATGCACAAATACCACTGTGTTATAATTGCCTACAGTATTCACTAAAGTCACATGCTGTACAGGAGCTATACCATACAGCCTAGATGTGTAGTAGGCTACACCATCTAAGATTAAGTCCACTCTGTGAGGTTCCCATAAGATGAAATCGCCTAACAACACATTTCTCAGAATTCATCCCCATCATCAAGCGACGCATGACTATATTTCTCACAATTCTATAAGAGAGGCAATATTAATTCTCCCTGTCTTAGAGATGAGGAAATTGAGGATTAGGGAAATTGGATCACTTGATGGAGGTCACATAACAATGAAATGCTAGAGCCAAGGTCTAAATACAGATCTGTCTATTACCTAAGCCTTTGCTCTTACAGACTAGACCAACACCACCTGTAAGTTTCAGGATATAAAGAAGGCAGCTAAATAATAGCAGAAATGCCAATAGAAAAAAAAAAAAGGTTGGCGGAGGGAACTACACAAATTCTTTTCTTTTTTTTTTTTTTTTTTGAGACAGAGTCTCACCCTGTTGTCCAGACTGTAGTACAATGAGGCAATCTCGGCTCACTACAACCTCCTCCACCTCCCAGGGGGGTTCAAGCGATTCTCCTGCCTCAGCCTCCCAAGTAGCAGGGATTACAGGTGTGTGCCACCAAGCCCAGCTAATTTTGGTATTTTCAGTAGAGACGGGGTTTCATCATGTTGGTCAGGCTTGTCTCTAACTCTTGACCTCAGTGACCTGCCTGTCTCGTCTTCCCAAAGTGCTGGGATTACAGGCGTAAGCCACCGTGCCCGGCCTGCACAAATTCTTTCAGAGAATACTCAACCTACTACTCAGCCTACTACTCAACATCTCATCGAAAGATGCAAATTGCTTTAAGTCCTGAGAGACAGTACATTTCTAAAGGAAAAAAAATTCCAGACTATAAGCATGAAGAAGACATTTGAGTCTTTGGCTTTCTCTAAAACGCTATCTCATTCTGCACTGGAGAAACAGAGGTTTCGACAACCATAAATCTAATCCTACAAAGTAGTTACTATTTTCCTCTCTCTGCCTTGATTTCTGAAGTTAGGAAGATCAGAAGGTGACCAGGAAAGTTGGCCAGCTTTCTCATAAGATGCCTCTCTAACCTACCTTGGATGTTTTACAGCTTAGCTCAGGATTTGGCTAATTTAACCCTGAAATGCTAACTTATTAACTTACATGGTTAATTCATAAGTATCACATAGATAAATACTCAGATTAGCATGACTACATCCATTCCTTACATACACATCTGCATGGGAAGTTATCAGAAAACTAGGAAGTGATATATAAGCAGAATTCGTTGTTAAGAGTATTCCTTAAATATAAATTTTTCCCAATTTTTAATGTCTTTCATTTCTTCTTCTTGTTGTTCAGATGACATTAGGTAATTTTTCTCCTTTTACCCTTATTGTGGTAACATTTAAAGATTTTTCTAATCTTGAGTCATTCTAGCATTCCTGCACAAACTAGAACCTGTCAGGGTGCAAGATCTTTTTTTTTTTTTTTTGAGAGAGTCTCACTCTGTCACTCAGGCTGAAGTGCAGTGGCACGATCTTGGCTCACTGCAACCTCCGCCTCCCTGGTTCAAGCGATTCTCGTGCCTCAGTCTCCTGAGTAGCTGGGATTACAGGCACGTGCCAACACTGCTGGCTAATTTTTGTATTTTTAGTAGAGACAGGGTTTCACCATGTTGGCCAGGCTGGTCTTGAACTCCTGACCTCAAGTCATCTGCCCGTCTCAGCCTCCCAAAGTGCTGGGATTACAGGTGTGAACCACCACGCCTGGCGCAATATCTTTTTTATATATATAATTTTTGGGGGGAAGGGATTTATTGTGCTTATGGGTGGCTTTGGTCTTTTAATTTTCCATCTCAGACCTTTATTTTCTGATTTTATCATAATTTTTTAAAATTATAACTTTTACTTTAGATTCAGGTAGTACATGGGCAGGTTTGTTACATTCGTATATTGCAGGATGCTGAGGTTTGAGGTACAATTGATCCCATCACCCAGATAGTGAGCATAGTTCCCAACATGCAGTTTTTCAACCACTGTCCCTTCCCACCTTTTCAACCATTGTTCCTTCCCTCCCCTCAGTAGTCCCCAGTGTCTACTGTTACTTTTTTTTTTTTTTTCTTTTTGAGACAGGTTCTCACTCTGTCACTCACGCTGGAGCGCAGTGGCATGATCACAGCTCATTGTAACCTCAAACTCCTGAGCTCAAGCACTCCTCCTGCCTCAGTCTCCCGAGTAGCTGGGACTATAGGTATACGCCACCACGTCTGGCTAA